TCACCATACAGACTTTACAAGTTCAACATTATGCTGTTTGGACTTATGAATACCCTGGCTACATTCCAAAGGTTAATAGATCAAATATTCAGCAACATAAGTGGAAGATTTGTTGTCATATATCTTGACGATCTTAACATTTTTTCTAGATCATTTGAAGAACACTTAGATCACTTGAAAGAAGTATTTCTATGATTGAAGCAAGCAGGTTTAAAAATTAAGTTCCAAAAGTATTATTTCGCCTGTAAAGAATTAAAATTTTTAGGGTTGTTGTAAGCGCACAAGGAATATCAACCGACCCAGAAAAGATTCGAGCTGTTCAAGAATTTCCTGTTCCTCGAAATTTGAGACAGTTATATGGATTTTTAGGATTAGTGTTTTACTATCACGATTTATCCCTGAATTTACAAGAATCGCAGTTCCATTAAATTCGTTACTACGAAAGAACGTTGGATATCATTGGACATCAATGCATCAAGAAGCTTTTGAGGAATTGAAAGAAAACTTATCACAGCTCCAGTTTTAACATACCTGAATTTTTTAAAACCTTTTATCCTTTTTACAGATGCGTTAGACTTAGCACTAGGTGCTATTCTTTCTCAATTGGATGATGACAGAAAAGAAATTATGCAAGTCGCTCTTTGACTCCAGCCGAAAAAAATTATTCTGTAACAGAAAAAGAGTGTCTTTCCGTCGTTTAGGCTATTTCATATTTTAGACCTTATCTTCATGAAGTTCTTTTTACACTTTATACAGATCATTCTGCATTGAAATCGTTATTTTCTCATCGGCTACCCCAGAATCGACTGGCCAGGTGGATCCTGACCTTGCAGGAGTATAGATTTACTACCATTCACAGATCTGGAAAAATATATCTTAACGCCGATAGTCTTTCACGAATTTAAGACAATTGATTTTTTTTATTTTTACTCCTATTTGAACTTTGACGATATCGATTTTGAATTACCCAAAATTTTGATTAACAAAACATTATAGATTTAGATACATATTACTTATTTTTAAAGTACCTTAGCGAGTCTACAGTACCTTCTAGTTATACTAGTGCCCAGATTAGAATTTTGAAGCATAAAATACATCATTATCTTGCTCGGGAAGAACTGTTATACAAGAAGAACCCTGGAACCCTCTTAGACCATTACGAATATTGAAGCCACAAGAAGTTGAACCCGTATTATATGCAATGCATTTGGATCCCTTAGCAGGGTATTTCAATAGAAAGGCAACGTACTAGCGAGTTATTACTCAATATTTTTGGCCACAAATAGGAAATGATATTTGGGATTATGTTAAGTCATATGACTCGTGTCAAAGAAGAGAAAAACCTGTTACTAGAGAACCTCTTCACCTATTCGAATTAGACAACCCTTTGATCGAATAGGTATCGATATCATTAGACCTCTTCCTGTTACTGCGAAAGAATATCGGTATATAGTTGTAGCGACCGAATACTTAACTTGATGGCCTGAGGCGCGTGCTATTAAATGTGCTGATGCTAAAACAGTAGCGGCTTTTCTGTTCGAAGATATTATTTGTCGTCATAGAAGTCCACGTGAGTTGCTTTCAGATCAAGAAACTCATTTTTGTAATAAAATTGTGGATGTATTGTGTTCTAAGATGAACGTTCGCCGTTCAAAATCAACAGCTTATCATCCTCAAACGAATGGATTGGTTGAGCATTTTAATCGAATATTGTATAAAGTTTTAGCTAAGTGTATAGAGCAGTTTAATGGTGATTGGGAAGATTACGTACCTGCGGCCCTTTTCGCTTATCGAACAAATCAGCATTCTACGACCCATTACGATTCTTTTTCCTTGTATATGGCAGAGATGCTTTGTTATCCATAGAAACTGTAATTTCAATGTATCCACATGAAGCAATTACTGAGGAAGAGTTACAGGACCAATTATTGCGACGGATAGAAAGTTTGTTAGGAAAATTAACTGAATCACGCCTCTAGGCTAAAAATAATATTATGAAGACTCAAGATAAACAAAAAGCATGTTATGACCAAAGCTATCAGATAGAAAGCTATTCAATTGGTGATAAGGTGTTATTAGAACAATCCTCTTTATTGACGTCTTATAGTGAAAATTAGAATCAAAATTTATGGGTCCATATTATATGCATGGTTTGTGGCAATGGTATATATAAACTATGAACGATAAGTGGAATAACAAGGGGCCAGCTTGGTAAAACAGAAAAAGTTCTTAAAAAGGCTGTATATGGAAACTGGTTAAACGATATGTAGAGCCTCCTGCAGAAAGAAGCTCTTAAACTTATAAATACGATCTGAATTAACCTTTGTTCTCTTAAATATAGAACCTTTTCAAGTGACCGCACCCATTTTAAAACTCCTCCTTCGTCTTCAGAAGTAGATTAAAGAGTCTTCTGTAGAATATCTCCGTATTACTGATAGTACTATTGAATTTCTTGATAGGCAAGAAGACCAGGTTCCTATTAATTTAGCACCAGAAATTAATGATGATTTGTTAGGAACTCGTATGCCTCTCTTTATTGAAGATCTTCACCGAATCGGTGACCCTGCGAAAGAACTCTGTAAGGTTGAAGGTACAAGTT